AAAGGTCCCAGGTTCGATTCTGGTCAAGGGCATGTACCTTGGTTGTGGGCACATCTCCAGTAGGAGGTGTGCAGGAGGTAGCTGATCGATGTTCCTTTCTCATCGATGTTTCTAACTCTCTAACCCTCTCTCTTCCTCTCTGTAAAAAATCAATAATATATATATATATGTATATATATATATATAAAGAATGCCTGGAACTCCAGAGCCCTCTGTCCTAGCCACAATCCACCCTGGTTTTTACAGTCAGAAGTTCTGGGGACTTGTCTTCCCGGCCCTGGAAGGCTTTGCTGGGATTCTGATGTGGGGCTGGGATCCCTTGTTCCTTAGGGGGCATCCTGAAAGCCAAGATATCTCTGCTGATTTTTATTTTATTATTATTATTTTTAGGCCTCATCTGAGGATATTTTTTTTTTCCTTGAGAGCGGAAAGGAGGTTGAGAGGGGAGAGAGAGGAGAGAGAGAAACTTCGATGTGAGAGAGGCACATTGATTGGTTGCCTCCCACAGGCGCCTGGATCTGGGCCAGGGGTCAAACCTGCAACCCAGGTATGTGCCCTTGACCAGGAATCAAACCCACGACTCTTCAGTGCGAGGGCCGACGCTCTAAACACTGAGCAATGCGAGCCAATGCTGATTTTTAAAAATATGTTTTTATTGATTTCAGAGAGAGGAAGGGAGAGGGATGGAGAGATACACCAATCAGCTGCCTCCCGCATGCCCCACAGTGGGGATGGAGCCCGCAACCCCAGCATGTACCCTGACTGGGAATCGAGCTGGCAAGCCCTTGGTCCGAAGGTCCCTGCTCAACCTTAGAGCCTAGCACACGTTGCCTCCTTTAGGTTTAGGGAACAGTGTCACCCGGTGGCCAGTGAGGGATCTGAGAGGAGGTAACTGACGGCATTTTCTGTCATTCTGGTTGGGTAGAACATCAATTAGCTGCCTCCTGTGGGGATGGAGCCCGCAACTCCAGCATGTACCGTGACTGGGAATCGAGCTGGCAAGGCCTTGGTCCGAAGGTCCCTGCTCAACCTTTGAGCCTAGCACACGTTGCCTCCTTTAGGTTTAGGGAACAGTGTCACCCGGTGGCCAGTGAGGGATCTGAGAGGAGGTAACTGGCGGCAGTTCTGTCATTCTGGTTTGGTAGAGGGGTAGGTTCGAAATGAACGTGTGCCTCTTTCAGGTGGTCTACCCTAGCCTTCCGCAAAACACCATGGACCCAGGCTTGCAGAG